TGGAATAAATTTATTAATAAAAGGAATATATTTTAATTTTTCTACCTTTCGACTGGCCTTTTGAATTTTATCCACTTTCTTAAAAGGGTAAACTTTTGGTAATCCAAATGACACGTTGCACTATATTACGTATTTATTATATTCGCACTTAAAATTTAAATTTTTCGTTAATTATTAACCAAAAATCCGTGGCCGAAGGACCATGTTGTGGACTGTATGTCTTGTTTCTGGTTGAACAGATTTTTTGGGTTTTATTATATTTAAATTTTAAGTAACCCTATGAACGTTAATATATCAATTTTTATTCGTTTAAATTACAACTATACGATAAGAATGCACGCCGCCGACTGACTTAAGTAAAAGTGGTGGTCAACGACCGTCCACGTACATGTTGATAACGATAGTTACATAGGACTTAACATTAGTTTTATTGTTAATGGCACAAGATATCTCAGGAAATGCTCTCCTGTCTCCTCTGGGTGTTCCTGAATATTTCCTTTTAATTATAATGTAATTGTAGTATAATCATAATAATTAATATAAGTTTTTTTAACTTGTCGTGTGTACAGGTATTAACAAAAGAAATTGATGTAGAATGGTTTTATCGGAAAATAGCTAATTCTTTAATGTTTCAATGTGAAACATTTCAAATATCAGGTTGGACTTTAGAAGAAATAATTTGGTTAGAAATTGTAGTAACCAAATCTTTAATCGAAAACAAACCATCTACAATTATCAATTGTCCTGTTAGCTACAATAAAAATTTCAGTCAATCAATTCCAGGTAAAACTTTATTTTTCATAGAATTATTTGTTGGAAAGTATTTTTATTTTGCTTATATAACATACGTATGTTAAGTATAGCGTATATTTGTAATATTTTTTTAAAAAACTTATTGAAATTTTGTTTAATAATGATTCTACTAAGAACGTTTTATATTTTTATATTCAAATGGTAACATGAGATGACATTATTACTTAATAACTGAAAGATAAACAATTTATTTTCTGATGTGATATTCAAATTCTTTCTTACTATATTTGTAATAAGTGTTAATAAAGCAATAAAGAATTATTGGTAAGTTTCTACTTAATGAGTGTATGTATGAATGTTATATGGTATTTTATTTTTATATATTCCAGCGATTAAAGGAATGTAAAATTTATTTTAATTTGATAAAAAATTTCTTGAATTAATTTTTAAAAATATTGTGAATTACGATTACGATTATTTTTCAGAAGTTCCTAAAATGCGTTTGGTGCGATGTCGTCCTTGTGGAGTTTACATTATTCGGGATAATTACAGCGAGCACATAAACACAGTCGTGCATAAAAATTCGGCTTCTAAGTACATCAGTGATTGGGTAGTGATTATAGATGGCCCTTCTGGAAATCGCATAAAAGGCTATAGAATATTATCAAGAACTCAATGTGTATCACTGTCCAAGTTTTTTAGTTCAGTTGNATGTGTATCACTGTCCAAATTTTTTAGTTCAGTTGAATCAGATGTACTAGGTATTGTTGATCAAACCTTAGTATTCAGCTGTCAATATGAGCGTACAATTAGTTAGTCATTACAATGACAGCAATATTATATCTAAACAAAGTGAAAAAGGAAATATACTACACTCCAATGGTTTTATGGGTAAAGTCAAGTCTTTTATGATGAAAAACGAGGTATTTAAAAATCCATTAAAATTATGTTTCATTAGTTTTTTGTATAAAAAATTACATTATTTACAGAGGCGTGCCCAGTGATTAGGTAAGACAGGCCCTGGCTTACCCTATTTTCAGAGCCAACTTTAGGCACGGTACTCGTAAAATGTTTATTTTCAATTAATGACCAAATAAAAACAAACCTAGAGACGGATACGCGAATACATCTCAGTTTCGAATTATAAAATCTGGATGATCATGGATTTCGGCCCTCTCAACACGTTTTTTTGATAACTTTTTTTTTCTCACCAGAAATTTTTTCTTTGTATAGCCAATTATAATAACCGGAATGCCCTAAATTTTCATTATGGTCACATCTCTGATTATTTACAATACATGGTATATTTTATAATACAGTTTTATAAAGGTACATATATTAGTGAAAATAATGAAATAATAAAATATCTGGTTTTGTGAAAATTTAATATTGTATCAGTTTATCCTGTCTATGACGATGACTAGAATATTATACCAACTTTTGAAAAAAAAATCGAAAACTATATGCCGTTGTATGCCATTCACTGTACCCAGGAGTTTATTCACATATTTTTCGTCTATAGGCATTTAAACATATGCCGCCCTTCATTACGTTATGACGGAGGGGCTCATTTTTATATATTTTTGCCATAACACTACTAATTCTTCCTACAAAAAAGAAAAAAAGTATTTAAATATATTTACAATGAAATCTATGTTTATTATTAAATCATAAGATGAATTGCTTGTAGTGACTAATATACATATCTTAAATACACAATAAATGAAAACGATTTTGATAATTATTAGGAAGTCAATTTGTCATAACAACTATAAAAAAAAAAAACTCGCTTTTTATAAATTTGTTGGCATTCAATATTTGCCGTTCCTTAAAATATGCCACTGTAGGCAGTTGCCTTTATTGCCTTTACATAAATACGCCGCTGTCTGCACCACTGAATAAGTTTCATAAAAACTGCTATTAGTATATAACTAAATCGAAGTTTGTGTAATATTTTTTCTATAATGGAACATACAATATCAGAATATTAAAAATTAAAAACTTCAATCCATACATTTATATCTGTACTTATCAACGAATTTTAATATTTAAAATTAAATTTAAAAAATACTCCAATTCGACGATCATTTGCAGATACTTACTCGAACATCAAGTTTGCTGAACTGGTATCAAAGTATGTCCGAAAATCTTAAATCACATAATGAAGAAATGTTATCCAGTGAAACCACGTGGACCTTAGACAGGATTATGTTTTTTGAAATTTATTTTTATAAAAATAGTATAGATTCATAAAGTACTATTTAATTTTTATATATTAATTTTATGATATTTCAATAGTTTTTAAATTAAGTGATATTTTCAATATTTATTTATTTATATATTTTTTTAATATAAATTGAAGAAAAATGATGTTAATTATTAAATAATATATTAACTGTATATTACCTCAAGAAAGTAATATACAATTAAATTGTATATGGTAATTGATACTTTGTAAACAAGGCTACACTTATACATAATAATATATCAATTTAACAATAAATTTTGTAAAAAAAAAAAAATATACCGAATAATATAACATATATTTTAATTTTAATGGTATTAACTTACAATGGAATGAAAAAAATAGATAGTTCATTAATTATAATAAAAATATTATACAATAGTAAATTTTAAATGAGAGTATATAGTTTAGATAAGTATAATTTTAAAATTATACAAAAAATGTAATAGTAT